ATTGAATTTTATTCCAGAATATAGAAGTTCGAATCCAGTTGTCTAATCTTTAAAGGTGAAGTTAAGATCCAGAAATCCTTGTAAATAAATGTGGGCTGTCGCTGGAGGTAAATAATATTGCCGTTTCTCAGTTGACAAAGCCTCATACTGAGGCAACAGCGACTCTATTGAAATGATATTATATCTGATTTTAGCAAGTGCCATTAATATTATCTTCAATTTATTTGTGCTCATACAAATCAAAATCATTTGGAGAATAAAAAAGCAAAAAATAATCATTTAGAACTTATTTATTTATTAACTTATACATAATTGTTTAATAATGGGCATAAATCATGCTCCCATATAATATTAGATCATATCATACAATTTTATTATTATACAAAACGATTTCTCAGTTAGTTTTTCAACCGGTGTGCAGTCGGTGCTGCCTGCGCTCTAATTCACACATTGATATTTTCATGCGTCCAAGCAGCCTCCCACTGTTTGGGCTGTTGTCGTTGTCACCAGCACCAACAGCAGCAGCAGCAGCAGCAGCAACAACTGCAATTGTAAACAGGTTGTGTTGCTGCTGGCAATTCTGGAGTTGGCTACACGCTGCTGCGTCGCTGTCGAAATTCATTGAATTCAAAACCAATTTCAAGTCCAGTTTCAAGTTGCATTTGTCTTAGTTTCAGTTTTCAGTTTTCAGTTTTCAGTTTTGTTTTGTGTTTGCCCATTTGTCGCGATAGAAGGCGGCTGTGGCGGCTGTTTGGGGCGGGGCGGGATGGGGCGAGGGCAGCGTGAGAGAGAAAGAGATCTCAGCAACAAACTGCGCCAGCGCACGCGTTCAATTAGCTGCAAATTGCAAATCGTGCGGCGCATGCGCAACGTCCGCTGTCCAGTGGCAACAACATGTTGCAGACACTGCTGCTGCTGCTGTTGCCAGCAACAGTTGCTAATGTGTTGTCAACAGAACTCGCGCTGACAGCAGAATCGAAAATATTTCATTTCAAATTTGCGCTGCGTGTGAGAAAGTGTGCGAGCGAGTGGGAACTAGCAACAGTTGCTGCTGCTGCTGAAGCTCGTTTTGCTGTTGTTGTTTCCTTTTTTAATTGTGCGCACTGAGTTATGTTATAGACACAGAGCTCACATCCTGTGTGCCTGGTCTCAAATGTCGCTTTGTTGTCTGTCGCTCATTCTAAGCACAAGCGCTGCTCGTAACTCAGCAGCAACATTTGCATCTGCAGTCGGAGCAACAGCAACAGCAGCAGCAGCAGCAACAGCAACGGATTGCATTCCTTTAAGCAGTTCAGTTTCAGCGCGCATTCGGTTTGCAATTTTTGTCATTTGAGTGAATGATAACTGACAGTTAAACAGGCAACCCGCCAGCCCGCGTCCGCTGCTGTGTTGCTGCTGCTGCTGTTGCTCCTGTTGCTGCTGTTGTGGCCCTGGCCTGGCCTGTCGTCTGCTGTCGCCGTTGCATCCTGAGGGCAGTTTTTTGTTTTCGCTCTTGCTTCGGCCAAAGGTAAATGTCAATAAATATTGGCAATGCTGACTGCAGTCGCTGTCATTGTCATGGAT